ATGTATTTACCTTTACCGGAGATGTTTCTTTTTGTATGGCTTTGAGTTATTGTCTAGCCTCCTTTCATTTTAACCTGAACGGCTTCCTTTAGCATTTCTCATAGAACGGGTATATTGGTAATGACTGCTGTTAGTTTTTGTTTATCTGGGAATGCTTTAATTATTCCATTTTTTTTGAAGGATAGCTTTCCAAGGTATAGAATTCCCCATTGGCAGTTTTTCTTTCTCAACACTTTAAATATGTCATCCCACTGCCTTCTGGTTTCCAAGGTTTCTGCTGAGAAATCAGCTGATAATCTTAGTGAGGATCCCTTGTATGTGACAAATTGTGTTTCTATTGCCACTTTCAAGATTCTCTATTTGTCTTCCAGCAGTTTGATTACATTGTGTCTCACTATGGGGTATCTGGGTTCATTCTGCGTAGAATTCTATGAGTTCCTGGATTTCTAAATTCATGTATTTTATCTAATTTTGAAAGTTTTTTTAGCAATTTCTTCAAATAACCTCTCTGTACCCATCTCTCTCTCCTCCTCTTGGGACTCCCATAACAAATATAATGGTCATCTTGAAGGGTGTCCCTGAAGTCCCTTGGGCTCTGTTTACCCCTCTTTATTCTTTTTTCTTTATGCTTCTCAAACTCAGTAATTCCAATTGTCCTATCTTCAGATTTACTGATTTTTATTCCTGCCTAAATCTGCAATTGAACCCCTGTAATGAATTTTTCATTTTAGTTATATTTTTGAGTGCCAGATTTTGTGTTTCGTGCCTTTTTATAATTTCTGTCTCTGTTGATATTCACATTTTGGTCCTTTGTTGTTTTCCTGATTTCCTTTGCATGTCTTGCAGTGTTCTGTTGAAAATTGGACACAGTCACGTCTCCCAATTATTGCAAACTGGCTCTTTGCTGGGACTGCCCTTAGCTGAGTACCCTTGGGATTAGCATGAGATGATGGCTTATGGAAGTATCAAGTCTTTTCTGAGAATTCTTGCCTGGGTCTGAGTGTGGCTTTTTTATTCTTTTGCATACATGGCTACTTTTAAATGTTTGAATTTCCCAGAGTTAACTTCTTCTCTGAGCCTCAGATGGTCTATTGTATCTCTTTACCTATAATCTCTTGCCCACGCATCTACAGCTCTAGTCTTCCTACAGCACCCACTGCTTCTCACTGCCTGAACTCCAAGTTAGGTGAAACAGACTAGTTCTTTAGGCAGCCCACAGACATATTAGAAAATTGGAAATAAAGTCTGCTTTGCTCCCTCTAGTTTAAGGGAAGGAATAGGGAACTGTATTGCTGCCTTCAGACCAAGAGCATACCATGTTGAGGACAAGGACAAGTAAAAACACCATGACATTTCCAACTATTTTGTTTGTGACTTTTTATTGATTTGGCATTTGCTTCATTGCTGTATACCTTTATCTATTTTCCAGAGTTCCTCTAAGATTATTTTACTAATTTTTGCATATTTTTTAACATGCCTGTTGGGGAATGAGGGCTTAAAGTTTCCTAGTCTGCCGTTTTGCTGACATCACTACATAGGCATGAGTTTTTAGGAACCATACTAGAACTCATCAAATGACCATTTCTTCCCCACTAAAGAAATCACTTTCAAATATTACTATACAATTACTAAAGGTTTTTGTAATGCCTCTTTACCTCCAGAGCCTATATTATATTCTTTTTACTTTTTAGTGTGGCAAACAGTTTTTTTCTTACGCCAGATTTTGTTTTGAGAAAATAATCAAAACACATTTGTTTGATGAATAAAATGAGTAAGTTAAACACTACAATTTTTGGTACAAAACTTTTTTTTTTAATTTTATTTTTGTTTAAAATATTACAAATGTCCCTTTTTCTCCCCAACGACCCATTCCACCCCGTCCCATACCCCGCCCCAGTCCCTCTCCCCATCATTGTCCATGTCCTTGGGTTGTGCATATATGCATATAAATTCTTTGGTTACCCTCTCCCCCTCCACCCACCCACCCTCCTCCATCCCTCTGACATTCATCAGTCTCATCTATGCCTCCATGTCATTGAATCTATTCTGTTCATCAGTTTATTAAGTTCTTTAGATTCCACGTATAAGCGAGATCATGTGATGTTTGTCTTTCTCTGCCTGGCTTATTTCACTTAGCATAATATTCTCCAGGTCCATCCATACTGTCCCAAAGGGTACGAGATTCTTCTTCTTTACAGCTGCGTAGTATTCCATGGTGTAAATGTCCCACAGCTTTTTTATCCACTCATCTACTGATGGGCACTTGGGCTGTTTCCAGATCTTAGCTATTGTAAACTGTGCTGCTATGAACATCGGGGTACATATATCCTTTCTGATGAATGTTTCAGGATTCTTAGGATACATTCCTAGGAGTGGAATCACTGGGTCAAAAGGCAGCTCCATTTTTAATTTTTTGAGGAACCTCCATACTGTTTTCCATAGTGGCTGCACCAGTCTGCATTCCCACCAGCAGTGTACTAGGGTTCCCCTTTCTCCACACCCTCGCCAGCACATGTCGTTTGTTGATTTGTTGATGGCAGCCATTCTGACAGGTGTGAAGTGATACCTCATTGTGGTTTTAATTTGCATCTCTCTGATGATTAGCGACATCGAGCATTTTCTCATGTGTCTCTTGGCCATCCGTATGTCCTCTTTGGAGAAGTGTCTATTTAAGTCCTTTGCCCATTTCTTAATTGGGTTGTTTGTCTTCCTCTTGCTGAGTGCTATGAGTTCTTTGTACACTTTGGAAATTAGCCCCTTATCAGATTCATCCTTGGCAAATATGTTTTCCCAGACCGTGGGGTTCCTTTGTATTTTGAGGCTGTTTTCTTTTGCTGTGCAGAAGCTTTTTAGTTTGATGTAGTCCCATATGTTTATTTTTTCCTTTGTTTCTCTTGCCCTAGGAGATGTATCAGTGAAAAGTCCACTACGTGGGATGTCTGTGACTTTACTGCCTATGTTTTCTTCCAGGATTTTTATGGTTTCGTGACTTACATTTAAGTCTTTTATCCATTTTGAGTTTATTTTTGTGTATGGTGAAAGTTGGTGGTCTAGTTTCATTCTTTTGCATGTATCTGTCCAATTTTCCCAGCACCACTTATTGAAGAGACTGTCTTTACTCCATTGGATACTCTTGCCTCCTTTGTCAAATATTAACTGACCATAATGGCGTGGGTCTATTTCTGGGGTCTCTGTTCTGTTCCATTGATCTATATGCCTGTTGTTGTACCAATACCAGGCCGTTTTGATTACAGTGGCTTTGTAATACAGTTTGAAGTCTGGTAATGTGATCCCTCCCACTCTGTTCTTTTTTCTCAAGATGGCTGCAGCTATTCGGGGTCTTTTTTGGTTCCATATAAATTTTCGAAATGTTTGTTCTAGGTCTGTGAAATATGCTGTTGGTATTTTAATAGGAATTGCATTGAATTTATAAATTGCTTTGGGTAGTATGGACATTTTAATGATATTAATTCTTCCAATCCATGAGCATGGTATATTCTTCCACTTGTTTAAATCTTCCTCTATTTCTTTTTTCAGTGTCACGTAGTTTTCTGAGTACAGGTCTTTTACATCCTTGGTTAAGTTTATTCCTAGGTATCTTATTTTTTTAGTTGCAATGGTAAATGGTATTGCTTTTTTAGTTTCTCTCTCTGAAAGTTCATTGTTGGTGTATAAGAATGCCACTGATTTCCGGATGTTGATTTTGTATCCAGCTACCTTGCCAAATTTGTTCATCAAATCTAGTAGTACTTTGATGGAGTCTTTAGGGTTTTCTATGTACAATATCATGTCATCTGCAAAAAATGACAGTTTTACTTCTTCCTTTCCAATTTGGATATCTTTTATGTTTCCTTCCTGTCTGATGGCTGTGGCGATGACTTCCAGTACTATGTTGAATAAGAGTGGTGAAAGTGGACATCCCTGTCTTGTTCCTGTTTTTAATGGAAATGGTTTTAATTTTTGCCCATTGAGTATGATGTTGGCTGTAGGTCTGTCATGAATGGACTTTATTATGTTGAGGTATGATCCCTCTATTCCCACTTTGCTGAGAGTTTTTATCAGAAATGGGTGCTGGATTTTGTGGAATGCTTTTTCTGCATCTATTGATATGATCATAGGATTTTTNGGAATGCTTTTTCTGCATCTATTGATATGATCATATGATTTCTGTCCTTCATATTGTTTATGTGATATATCACATTTACTGATTTGCGGATGTTGTACCAGCCTTGCATCCCTGGAATAAATCCCACTTGGTCATGATGTCTGATCTTTTTAATGTATTGCTGGATCTGGTTTGCTAGTATTTTATTGAGGATTTTAGCATCTATGTTCATCAGGGATATTGGCCTGTAATTTTCTTTCTTTGTAGTATCCTTATTTGGTTTTGGGATTAGGATGATGCTGACCTCATAAAAAGGGTACAAAACTTTTTAATTTCCATAATAAGGTAATTCCACCATAGGCCCAGAAAATATTTTAAGTAATGAGGTACAGGTAATGAAAGAATAACTACATAGCTTTCCTAAATAATTACTTTGAAGATTATAATTAATTGATACCTATGTTATGGTTTGGTGAAGTCTATTTTAAAATATCATTTTATATTTTTGTAATATGTGTTTACTGATGGAAATTTTAAAATGTGCAGGTAGATCCTATTGAAAAATGAGTATAGATGTGTCTTTGTACTGGCACAAGTGACTACAAGATAGCAAGGATTTCTATTTTAAGGGGAATCATCTAGGGTTTGTCTTAACCTTGTAATTCCATGACAGCTGTATTCGCCACATAACTATAACCTACAAAATTTACTTTTTCTCTCGTTATACATGCATAGCTTTCAACCGCAGTACATTTCAGTTCAGTTGAATGCCTCATTTAACCATGCTAAGTTCACAAATTAGTGAAATTACCCTTCGATACTGTTCAGTTACTGTAACTCATGTTCATATAAATGTTTGTGGATTGTGCAAGTAACTTCAGGATCTTATGTGAAGGAAAAAGAACTTGTGTGAAGAAGTAGTAAGAAAAACAGATGATTATTTATCAAATGTAATAATGGCTAAAAACTGCATTGAAGAAAAAAAAAATGATTTGAATGCAGCTATGAAGATAGCAAGAGAGTTAAAGTCAGCACCTTCTCTAAGGACTTATTGTGACCTGAATCAGGTAATTTTAATAGTTCATGATGTGAATTATTATGTTTTTACTTATTTATTTTATTTTTCAATTACAGTTTACATTCATTATTATTTTGTATTAACTTTATGTGTACAGCATAGTGGTTAGAGGATTATATACTTTACAAAGTGGTCCCCTGATATTTTGAGTTCTCACCTGGCACTGTACATAGTTGTTACAGTATTATTAACTGTATTCCCTATGCTGTACTTTCCATCCCCATGGATATGTTGTAACTACCAATTTGTACTTCTTAAATCCTTTTCCATTTTTACCTAGTACCATCAGTCTTCTCTCTGTATCTATGAGTCTCTATATTTTTGTTCATTTATTTTATTCTTTCGATTTCACATATAAGTAAAATCATATGGTACTTGTCTTTCTCTGACTGACTTGCTTTACTTAGCATTATACCCTCTAGGTCCATCCATACTGTTGCAAATGATAAGATTCCATTCTTTTTTATGGCCAAGTAATATTCCATTGTATATATGTATGACAGCTTTTTTATCCACTCATCTATTGATGGGCTCTTGGGTTGCTTCCATATCTTGGCTATTGTAAATAATGCTGCAATGAACATAGGGGTGCACATATTCTTTTAAATTAGTCTCTTGCGTTTCTTCAGAGATATACCCAGAAGTGGAATTGCTGGGTCATAAGGTAGTTCCATTTTTAATTTTTTGAGGAACCTCCATACTGTTTTCCACAGTGACTGCACCAGTCTACATTCCCACCTATAACAGTGCACGAGGGTTCCCTTTTCTCCGTATCTTCACCAACACTTGTTTGTTGATTTATAGCCATTCTGACAGATATGAGGTGATATCTCATTGTAGTTTTATTTATTTATTTTAAATTGATTTCAGAGAGAGGAAGGGAGAGGGAGGGAGAGAGAGAGAAATATCAATGATGAGAGAGAGTCATCGATTGGCTGCCTCCTGCACACCCCCCACTGGAGATCAGGCCTGCAACCTGGGCATGTGCCCTGACCAGGAATGAAACCAAGCTCTCCTGGATCTTAGGTCAATGCTCAACCACTGAGCCATACCAGCTGGGCTCATTGTGGTTTTAGTTTGCATTTCTCTCATGATTTGTGATGTTAAGCATCTTTTCATATGTCTGTTGGCCATCTGTATGTCCTTTTTGAAGAAGTGCCTATTCAGGTCCTCTTTGAAGAAGTGTCTATTCAGGTCCTCTGCCCATTTTTAAATTGGATTGTTTGGGGGTTTTTGGTGTTGGGTTGTATGAGTTCTTTATAAATTTTGGATATTAACCCCTTATCGGATGTGTCATTGGCGAATATGTTCTCCCATTCATTGGGTTGTCTTTTTGTTTTGTTGATGGGATCCTAAGCTGTGCAAAAATTTTTTAGTTTGATGTATCTCATTTGTTTATTTTTTCTTTTGTTTTTCTTGCTTAAGGAGATATATTAGAAAAATATTGCTAGGAGAAATGTCAGAGACTTTATTTTGTATTAACTTTATAATATAAAATATTACATTTTGTATTATGTGTTTCCTTCTAGGAGTTTTACAACTTCAAGTCTTAAGTCTTTAATTCATTTTGAGTTTATTGTATATGTTGTTAGAAGGTGGTGTAGTTTAACTTTTTTCATGTATCTGTCCAATTTTCCCAATGCCATTTATTGAATAGACTATCTTTACATCAGTGTATGTTCTTGCCTCCTTTGTCAAGTACTAATTGACCACATAGGCATGGGTTTATTTTTGTGTTCTGGATTCTGTTCGATTGACTTATATGTATGTTTTTATGCCAGTATCATGCTGTTTTGATTCTAGAGCCTTGTAGTATAGTTTAAAATAATCAGGTAGTGATACCTCTGACTTTGTTGTTCTTTCTCAAGATTGCTGTGGTTTGGTGTGAATTATTTCTGAGATAGCTTATTTTACATGTTTTCAAATGCAGTATTTAAAAATTAACAAGAATATGTATTTCAGATTATCTTAACTTACATTGGCACCAATTTAGAATTATTAGTCACCTGAATTCTAAAACAAATATTATTAAATTTTTTTAGGCTTTTATTTTTATCAGTTAAGTAAATCATATAGTAAGGTTTTTATAACATATGGTAGAAGAAGAAGTAGGACGACAGTGAGTTGAAAGTTGCTGTTTCTCAGGACAAATAAGGGTTGCAAACTAAATGGGACTCTGTTTTTACATTCAATACAGGTATGACTGTCAACTCTTGACTTACAATTTATTTTTTTGTTTGTTTAAAATATTACAGATGTCCCTTTTTCCCCCCAATGACCCATTCCACCTGTCCCACCCCCTCCCCAGTTAAAATTTTAATTCAAGATCCCATTCAGGTTTTTTTTCCTCTCCTGCCTGCCTCCCCAGATATGCAGGTGAAGAAACAAGGTGCTTCAGCTATGTCCTATTATCTAATCATGTGCCCACAGGGCAGAATTGGGCAAAAATGTAGAAACATGTTTCTTACGAGATAATTTGGAAGGAATAGAATTAACCATCGATCCTCATTGCTAATACTTTTCTCCCTTGGAGAAATAGTTTATACTCTATCTTTGAGTTCTCAGAGCCTCATTTCCCGTAATCAGATGTTTGGACTGAACTGAGGTATAAAATAGAAGCCATTGGTTTACCTGTCTCCAGAGTCTCTAACTTTAAATGAAAGAAGAGTTTGTCACTCTCTTACTTGGCCAGGCCTCCTTCCAACTGTAGTTCTAAAACAATAATAGTAATTTCCTGTGTATTACACATTAGGAAGTTAAAAGAAAAAGTAGTAAGATTTGATCTTTAGTTAGCCTTCATTAGGAAGATGGGGCAAAAAGAGAGAGAAACATTTGAAAACAGCAATGCAGATGCAAAATGAATCTGATCAGAATTTTCTCTGGTCGTGTAGCTATACCTCATTTATTAACCAGTGTCTTTTGTTGTTGTTATTATAATACAAAGCTCCAGAAGATTTTAAATTCCTTTTAGGGGGGAAAAGTCATAAACACTTATTTGTATTCCTTCCTTCAAATGCCTAAAATCAAATCTTGAATACATTAATTAGTGAAATACCTAAAGGGTATCATTTCTCTTCTAAAATCTTACTGTATTTCAACAGTAATAAAAGAAAATTTACATATGAGTAACATTTCTCTTTTGATTCTAGATTATCCGGACTTTGAAGTTAACATTTGAGAGTGAATTGCCACAAGTTAGTGCTCTGAAACTAAGGAAATCTCCCAGGTAAGTAAGTTATAATTTAGGAGAACATAACAAGCATAAAAAGTGTTAGAGCCTAGATTTATTAAAATAAAATAGGAAGCAATTATAAATTGAAAATTTGGGTCACAAATGTTTCCCAACTTAGCAAGCAAATTAAAATAAGTATAATTTATGATAAGAAAAATATTTAAATGTTCTGTCTTGTAGATTTTTTAATGTCTGCAACTGATTTTTATTTAGAGAAAGTAAAAATGTGTATTAGAACATTTATTTATATGCTAGTGTTTATTGTAGGTTGAATATGAGTTGCAGTGAGATCATCTCTATGTTCAACAATATGATAAAGATTGACTTTGAGGACTCAACAAAGTAAGTATTTATAAGAATGACAACATACTATTAGTAACAGGGCCTAAGAGATAGGAAAATTGTTGCATACTATGATTCAAAAGTTGAAAAAATAATAGTTTCTTTCAGTTATATTCTACGTAAAATATTTAAGAATAAAAAGACTTAGAAAGGATCAGTATTCAATGATATGTGTGTCAAAGTTATTTCTTGAGATTAATTTATTCAGCCAGCGTTGAACACTGATTTTGTGCTAGGCATTAACACCCTAGATGTTGAGATACATGTCAGAGAAGTTTCAATAAGTAGAGGAGACATATGTGAACAACAAAGTTCATAATTGCTACGATGATAATATATGCAGAATTTAATGGAGATTCAAAGGAAGGGAATGGTCAGTTCTGAGGATAACAAGGGACCTGGGAAAAGGAGAGTTTATTTTCCCTTATCCATGACAAATGAGTAGCAACTGGAAAGGAGGACAGAAGGGAGGTAGGCATCTTAGCAGAAAGACGTGTGCGCAGTGAAATAACATACTACATTCATACAAATAACATACAAATCAGGGAACTGCATTTGGCAGAGAGTACATAGAGGTTAAATTCTAAAAACTTTGTATGCTGTACAGAGGTGTTTGAACTTCATTTTCTAGACTCATGCTGTCCATTGTGATAGCCACTAACCACATGTGGCAATTTAAATTTAAGCATAAGTGCATTAAAACTAAATAGACTGAGAAATTCAGTTCCCCAGTTACACTAGCCACAGCTCAAGTCTCAGTTGTCACATGTGGTTAGTGGCTCCCATATTGGACAGCACAGTACAGTGCAGCACATTTTCATGATCACAGAAAGTTCTGTTGGACAACACAGCTGTAGACAAACTACTAAAAGATTCTCAGCATGAAAGTTAAAATAATTAGGTTACATTTTTAAATATTAACTCTATGGTCCCGTAGAGGATTATTTGGAAGAGTATGAGGTTGGAGGCTGAAGGATCAGTTGGGCTATTTTATCAATATCAGCAAATGATGAAAAACCAAAAGTAGGTAATAACACTGGAGAGGCTCGATATCAGGGAGCCCATAACGAATGCTAAGTAGGGAAAATTGGTAAGACTTTGTAATTGAGTGTGAGCACCGAGGAAGAGGGAAGCACTCTGGATGATTTATAGGTCTGGTTTTGGTAATTAATTTGATGGATTGTGGTATTACTCACCAAGACTGGGAATACAGGAAGAAAAGTTGGAATGGGGAAGAGAGTAGATAATGTTGAGTTACTGTTGTTTACCAGGTATCAGGGAGAAATGTCCAGATGACAATTGGCTATATGTGTTGAAAGTTACGATGTGGTCTTGGACTTGATTCTTGGTTTAGGAGTAGTCAGAATATAGATGATTTATAAACCCCAAAAGAAAGTAAGTTCATTCACTTGTAGGTGGTGTGTCTGTAGGGAAATCACCCCCCAAGGAGCATCACATGTATTGCCGTAGAGAACTAAGCAGAGTGCCACCCATGGTCTTGTAAACTCAGAAACAGATGTGAGCCAATCCACATTAAGCCAGAACTCAGAAACATCAAGTTCACTAAACTATTGTAGAGTCAGAATGCCAGTTCATCAACTTAATGGGCAGAGACCAGAATACTTAGTGTTGGCATTCTTTTCCAATGTCCACATAGACACAAGAAGCCAAATTGTCAGAAGTTGCTTTGTTTGCAGTCTTGTTTGGAATAAAGTGAATAATTAAATGGTCTAACAGCAGTAGGCCTAGATAGCCTACTTTATTCCTTACTGCCACAGGGAAGAGCTTCCCAGAGGACTTGGGCTCAAGTCATCTTCCCTGATATGGAGCCCTGCCATATTTGGATGTGTGACTTGACTTTTGTGCTTCCAGAGATAATCACTTTTTCAATCAGTACATTCTTTTAGATACTTTCATAACTTGAATATGATTACTATCAAATATTTTTAATATCAAAAACTATTCTGTCTCTGTAAGAGTCGGTTGATCTTGTCTTGATTTTAAATTTAACTCAGTAGTCTTTTAAATTTTTTCCTAGTTTTTAGGAAAGTTTCACTCTAAAGCCTGCATCTACTGATTACAGACGGTAATTAAACAATGAGTTTGCCCAGTGAAAACAGGCATTGAAATAGGTCAAGGACGGTACCCTAGAAAAGGATGAAATTTTAGGACAGGCAAAGAATAACCTGCAAACAAAACTGAAAAGGAGCAGGCAGAGGCTGAAAGACAACAGGAGAGTGGTGTCCTAGAAATCAAAGGAGAGGTTTATGAGACTGGAGTTGGTTGACTGTTGAATGTCGTAGTAAGGTATGATAAAAGTTGTTATAAAAAGAAATGTTTGGATTGCAAAGCTGTGCACATATATGCATCCTCAGAAGGTGCTTGGACATTTATTCCACATGTATTAGTTTTACATGGGTTAAGTGCACACTCTCTGTTGTAAGAGATGGATAAGAGATGTCATTACTGAATCCATCTGGCTTTGTTGGTTCTTACTTCTGAAATGCTTCTTAAATGCTGATCTGTGATGAAGCTAAATTCATCATGGGTTAACTAAAATACAAGCTTCTGAAACCCCATCTCATATATTTGATAGGATTTCTATACTTGCAGGTCAGATGGCCTAAGTCTGTGTGGCTAAGTGAGGAAAATAGAAAAATACAGAGTAGATGGAATAATCAGCTGTGAGTTAGTGAATAGTCATATTCAAAGTTTACCAAAGGATTCAGACTAATGGCAGTTTCTATCCAAGGTAGAGGTTTCTAACAATTTGCTTAGGATCGTACCCCTCAGTTTCCTACACTTAATTTTTAAGCCAGTGAATTAAAAGAAGAATTAAATTTTAACGTAATTTAAAATCAAACCCTGAGCCAAATCAGAGTGACTTGTTTTGAAAACCTATATCCACTGTTCTTTTAGGACCAAATCATTGTGGCATGAATATCATGCTCTTTCTTCACTGTTGCATTGATTACACATCTTGTTGCCCTTTTGCAAGGCTTGGGCTGGAAATGGGCCATAGTTTTTTTGGGGGGGAGGGGTAATAGAAATGTTCTAAAATTAGATTGTGGTGATGGTTGCACAACTCTGTGAATTCAGTAAAAATTAGTGAATTTCATTTTGTGTAAATTATCTCAAGAAAGCTGTTTAAAAAGTACCCTGGGCACCTGTATAACTTTACCCCTTTGTGTGTGTCACAGGTGTTAACTGTCCTGTGGAAAGGAAATGGCTTGAGGGTGGACATAGAGACTTTATGAAGCAATGTAAAGTAGCCATGTGCTTTTGTTTTCAGCAGATGTGATCCCCAAGAAAGTGAAATTGGCCAGAATGTTCAGAAGAAATATAATCACGAAAAGGAATTTTCTTATCGTGGTACATTCCCATCGCCAGCAAAGAAAAAGGTTGACATGTCTGTCCCGACTAATGAACCCCCACCACCTCCTTTGCAATCGGAAACCAATGATGTGCATTTGGAAGCAAAAAACTCCCAGCCACAGAAAGAAGTTGTTGCAACAACATCCCCTAAAACCATTGCTGCTCTACCCCAGATAGGATCTAGCCCTGATGTGATCATTGAAGAAATTATTGAAGAAAACCTGGAAAGTGAGTGACAATACAAAAGCAAGGAAATAATAGATCGTGTCTGTAATTAGAAACAAAGTACTTTCACATTTTCTAAAGTTAGGATAATTTTTAATTTTAATGCAATAATATAGGTAAACTGAGATGTAAATTTGATATTTGATTTAAATAGGGTATTTGACTTTTTAGTGTTTGACATATAAACCTTGTATAAAAGATGAAAATATAAGTAAGATTTATAGAAGCAATCTCATGACTTTGTCCTTAAATTTAAGAACAGCTTCTCTTAAATCTTTGAGATATGGTTACAAAATGAACTATCATGACTATAATAGCATCTCTTTTGTAACATTTAAATGTATCATAATGATTTGATGATTAGATTTCCAGTGTTGGTGTTCTCGCCACTAACATGAGAGTGAGGTACTACTGTGTGTAGTTACACTACCAGTCTTCTTGAGGACCATTTTTAAGACCCACTTGGTTCTCTTCCCTCCCACACACATTTGTTTCATTGGTCGATTTTCCAAAATGACACTTGCATACAGAAAAAAGACATACTCTTTTATCATTTCTACTGTATAATTATCACTGATACCTCAGTGAGTTAAGAAACCTCTCATGATATTACCCACTGATGCAAAGGGTCCTGCCTTTCCAGTATTTTGACAATTCAAATACAGCTTCTTGGACAATAGTATATCATTGTCAACTTAAAAAAATAGTACAGTTGCCTTTATTTCCTATTTTGATGAAGCATGCCTCACAGATGATCTTATGGAGACACCTAATTATCCAAGCAAGCCTCTTCAGAAGAAATCGTCTGCTCCTTTTGGATCAAAAACAGGTACTTTAACAACTCTGAACCTGATGTTGTAGAGTTTACTCTATGTACATAGTAACTCTTATATAGCATGAGGCAATGAGTAAAATGAATTTTACTGATAACTAAAACTTCTTTTTCAATGTTAAAAGTTTTGAGTGTTGTTGGCAAAAATGTTTCTGAAATACGTAATACTTTTCTCAGCTGTCTTCCCAGTTTCACATATCCCTTTACCCCATCCTCAATATAGCTATATTTTGTTATCTGTATTAATTAAAATGATCCATTCACTCATTTTTTACCTGTACTTGGCTGTTTTCAATTCCAGTCCTCCTAGTTTTTGGTTGTTTTTTTTTAATTTTTACTGGATAAAACATCTGCATTACTCAAAAATTAAATATATGTATTAAAATACCCTGTGAAACTTTTCCCCAAACTCATTCCATCCTGTTCGTCCATCCCTCCCAGAGTTTCTTTATGTATATACCAAGAGATATACATACATTATTTTTCTCTTTTTCTATTTTTTTTTTTTACACATAGCATACTTATTAATACATATAAGAAAGGACTTAAAAGAACAGAATAGTGTTCTTTACATTATACTCTGGAGATCTTTTCATATTAGTAACAACATTTGGCTTAATTACTGTTATATACAAGAAATTTCTCACTGTCTTTTACTCTACCCTACCCCTGCCTCCATCAAAACACATCTTCCCCTAAATGTTGCTTAATATGTTGACTTGGCCCCAACATTTTTTCACGCCTCTCTAACCTGATAAGATTTTAGATTCAGAGTGGCTATGAGCTAATTATTGGTTCTTTGGATATACTATAGATTAAACAGGATTTGGGGGGCTATAGTAGAAACCTAATCATTATCAGTGGGGTTCTGAGTTCTAAAGATGTTCATAAACAAACTCTGAAGTTTTGTTGTAATACAAAGGAGTTACAGCATATAACTAACATTAGAATTTACCACTTGAACTGCAATTCTACTTATTTAACAATTTTGCAAGTAAAGTAAAATATTTGCAATTCACGATAGCTAAAGAATTATTCATAAAAAGTGTGATCTATTTGTTTTAGCAGTTTAGTTACTAACTTGTGGAACCTCAGTGTTGTAGAATTTGCAATGCCATAAAACACTATTCTTTTAGAGGATATTGCATTCAGTTTTGGTGAAATTTTTTCCTAATTTATGGTGTATTAATACAGTTTATATGTTCTTATCCAGGTTCTCCAGAGCTGGTTTTTGTAAGTCATGTAATACATCCTTGCCACTTCTACATTCGGAAGTATTCACAAATAAATGATGCAACGGTATTGGAAAAGATGGTAAATCAGTTTTGCAATAAGAGTTCACACCTTGATTCTTCAGACATTTTGGAGCTAGGTAATGAAATATTACTCCAACTTAAAATATCAGGTTTATGTAAATATTGTAATATTTGGCCAACCCATATAAACTTATTATAATATAGATTGGTACTTCAAGCATAAAAGTTTTGGAATTATTTAACATAAGCTAAATTTTGTTTAGGTAAGTTAGCTAAATATTAAAATTGACTGCTGAGTGAGATATACACAAAAACTATTCTGGAGCAAAATGAGTTTTGGTTTGTTTTTTGTGGAGTTTTTTAATCCTCATCCGAAGATATTTTTTCCACTGCTTTTCAGAGAGAGTAGAAGGGAGAGAGAGAAACATAGATGTAAGAGAGACATATCAATTGGTTGCCTCCAGCACGCTCCCCGACCGGAGCCAGGGATCGAGTCTGCAACCGAGACACGTGCCCTTGGCCAAAATCGAACCCGGAACCCTTCGGTCCGTGGGCCAATGCACTGACCACTGAGCCAAACTGGCACCAACAATGCCTTGACATCCACATGTGAATGTTGAGGATGTCATTAAACACTTAATGAAATCAGGGGGTGGCAGCATCCATTTCTTAGGGCCTCATGGAGGGTAGTTGGGAAACTTCATCCTTCTCTCCTAATTCTTAGGGTATGTGTTATTTGCCATAATTGAGCTTTCATTACAAATATTTTCCTTACAACCCTGTTGATTAAATTTGATTATACTCTGTAATAAGATGAAGCTATGATTTGTTTGACTTACTAATAGAGTATTTTTCTCATTCTGTTAATAGCAATCAATGTCTATATATAACTAATACCAAAAAGTATTATGTTTAGCCTTATATAGTAGTTCTTTAAAAGTGTAATTAACTTTCAGCTCATCTATATAGCTTAACAGTATTAGAAGCCTAAGATCATCATATATTTTTGACAAAAATTTATAATTTTTAAACAAAAAAGTAACACTTAAATTATGAGTATCTAAGAGAAGTGCAGTATTAAACTTAATTTTTATGGCTGCAAATAATTTTCCAAAATTTAATATGTGCACAAAAGAACTTAGCTTACGTTCAGAAAATATTCTAAGAAAGCCAAAAAGTCATCCTTTGTTTTAAGTTAAGAATAATTATTATTTCATGGTAAGTACACATGATTTAAATACTCATTTAGCCCAGACTGTGTGTCTCAGTGGTTGAGCATCAACCCAGGAATCAAGAGGTCATGGTTCATTTCCTAGTCCGTGCACATGCCAGGTTTTGGGCTTGATCCCCAGTAGGGGGCATGCAGGAGGCAGCCGATCAATGATGTTTCTTTCTCATCAATGTTTCCCTCTCTCTATCCCTCCCCCTTCCTTTCTAAAAAATCAATAAAAACATTTAAAAAATAAATATGCTCTAGCGGTTTGGCTCAGTGATTAGAGCATCGGCCTGTGAACTGAAGGGTCCCAGGTTTGATTCCAGCCAAGAGCATGTACATTGCTTGGTTGCAGGCTCGATTCCTGGCCCCAGTCGTGGTGTGTGCAGGAAGGAACCAATCAATGTGCCTCTCTCACATCGATCTCCCTCTCCCCCTCCCTCTNAGGCCATCTTGATGTGCCTCTCAACTACCCTGTTTTTATCAGCATACAGAGAGGCTTATACAGTATCCCTCCATATGTAATCAGTGATCAGATCTTACCAAATTTCTCTGTGATGTGTAACTTAGTTTTTAAGAGAATGGGCTTTAAGACTACCTGCATTCTCCTCCTCTCTCTTCTAAGTAGCCCTGTGGGTTGGGCTAGCTTTTCAACCTCTTTTTGCCTGGTTTCCTCATCTACATGATGGAAGTACCATCTCCACAGGTTTGTTGAGGGAGTAAGTGAATTCAAACATAAAATACTGAGAGCATTGCTGAGCTCATAGTAAGCATTCAAATTCAGGTTTCTTTCTTCCTTGCTGTTTTTTTTCCTAGTTATTAATTTGTAATTCATCTGATCCCTCTGCTATTAGATCCTTGGTTCATCTTCCCCTTCTCTGAACTCAACTGTGTATTAATTTAATTTTGTCATTTCACATCTTCCTTTCATTGTTTCTTTACTGTCACTCCCCCTAACCAAGAGAAGGTAATTGATTCTTTTTTATGTTACCAAAGTATTTTACAGATTTTTGTATGTATATATCTAGATAGGCATGTGTGTACATGCATGAGGATAGGTCTTTATTGTTATAAGTACAATATATTAGAGTCATTTATTTGCCTGTCGTTTTTTGGTTTTTTTTTAATATATATATCTTTATTGATTTCAGAGACAGGAAAGGAGAGGGAGAGAGAGATAGAAACATCAATGATGAGAGAGTCATTGATCGGCTGTCTCCTGCACGCCCTCGACTGGGGATCAAGCCTGCAACCCGGGCATGTGCCCTGACCGGGAATCAAACCCCGATCACCTGGATCCTAGGTCCACGCTCAACCGCTGAGCCATGCCCGGCTGGGCTGCCTGTCTTTCTTGAGTGTCATTCATCTTTGTTATAGTTCATAAAAAAGTGACTGCTGAGTATTCTTTGTTTTTATCTCCCCATTTAGCTCATATGGTTCTGTGTGACAGAAACTGTCATACTATACTACCTTTATCCTTCCCATAGTTCTTGACACAATACTGTATCATCAGTAGATAAATGAATTAAGACTTCTTAGTGATTAAACTAATGTACATGTTTGTAAATTAGAGCTTACTAGGTATTCTTTCTCCATAAACATTGATAATGATTTTCTCATTATTTAGGTGCAACAATATTTGTCAGCAGTATTGAAAATGGAATGTGGTGTCGAGGAATTATCACTGAATTAATTCCAATAGAAAATGAAACTATTAAAAAACATTGTCATCCAACTAAATTTTCAGTCTGTGAAGTTGCACTAATACAAATATTCATGGTGGATTTTGGAAATTCTGAAGTCCTAATTGTTGCAGGGTATGATGTTTTATAATTATTGTATGTTCCTGGCCTGCTTGGAAACATTTGTGATTGAGGAGGGGGCAGATACTAAAGAATAAAGGAAGTGGGAAAGGGTAGAGAGGAATAGTTTATATTTTTTCATTTCCAAGGCATATACTTTTTATTTTCCTCTGTAGTTTATCTTACTAATTACTAAATTAGTAAAGTATTATCATTTATCAGTGTTACCAGATGGGGAGCTTGGAAAAGGAGCTTTCTGATGTATCCAAACTTAAGTACTCTTCTTTGTTGCTTTAAAACAGGAGAATGATGCATAAAAATAGTTCCTTTAAAATAAAGTGTTACAGTTAGCCGCAGGATGATTGAGTAAAAATTTTAATCAGGTTTCTATAATTTTATTAATGCATGTTAAAATGGTATAGTGTTTAGCTCACTCTAGATATTCAAAAATGTTCTAGGAAAATAAAACAAACTGAAAATGTTTGTGTAATAAGGACCAACATTTACAGCATGGTCACTAATTAGTTAATTGTCATAGCTTTATAAATAAATAGATTTCTGCTTGGGGGCATCATTATCCCTTTATGTTTAAAGTGAATAAATATATGAAAGACAACTAAGGTAAAGGCAATTGAGAATTCTATAAACAGTGTCTGAATTTATAAAAGCTAGATTAAATCTATATTGTAAGGAAGTATGAATTAGAATATAACTTTCTAGAAGATTTAGCTTAAGGAGAGTATCCTTAGAAATGCATAACTTTTATGAGGGAAAGCAAGTTTGGGTTTGAAGCATTGTTTTCAAAAAATGTTACTGGAATTCTTCCTAGAGTTGGTGATACCCATGTGAGATCAGAACACATTGCTGAGCAACATATAATACTAAATGACTTATGTCTGGTCCTAAGGAAGTCTGAACCATATATTGAAGGGCTGCTAAAAGACTTCCAACCATTAGCACAGCCATGCTCACTGAAGGACATTGTTCCACAGAATTCAGTAAGTGAAACTGAAATTATGCTTTCTTCTTCAGGGGCTAGTGTTCCAGTTTTAGCTGGGTATTGTCAGTCAGATTGCTGAGTGTAGGTTTAAGACAACCTGGTAAATACATTTTGCATAATAATCTTATAGGTGCCAATGAAAAAGGAGACAAACTTCAGTTTCCACAACTGGAAACGTTCTTAGTGGGAAATTTAGTTGAATAAGCATAGATGAACATAATGATAGGTGAAATATCCAAGTAAACCACTAAGTTTTGGAGTCAAATAAGTATGGAAAAATAAAATGTGTGGTTTGTGTTTGTGTACATTTCTTCACTGTTTCTGTGTCACTTTATTACTCTACCTATAGCCCATATGGCATTCTGCTTTGTATTATTTATGAATATCTGCAAACTCCTAGGGGATAGGGATTGTGTGTAAGAATGTATGTCAAGCAGTTATATTTACAAAATCTACAAACGCAGGAGTCTGTCTTTGCTCATCACTGTACTCTAGGCACATAGCAAATTACCTAACACATGGTAGACATTCAGCAGATATTTGAAAGAATGAATAAAAACTAGGAGGAAATATAAAAATAGTAGACTGGTGTTTTCCTCAAAATGGTAACAAAAAAATTTAAATTATTTTATTTGGAGTAGGCTTTACTTTTATACTCATGAAATCTTTAGAAAGATGTTTTATTTTTTGTTTTTAAGGAGTGTGTACTTTTGATCCTCAAATTTTACTTTAGGTTTTGATACTTAAAATTTCAAATATCAACTTAAAAAACCTTTTTCCAATAGGTGAATATTTTTCTTTATTATTTTAAGTAGCATAAACCTCATATATTGCTAGTAATGAAAACTAAGTTAACTGGTGATGATTAGAAATATCTTGATTGTATTACATGGCTTTCATTATACCTCAAAAATTACCTTTCGAATTTTTATTGTTTAAGTGGAAAATTCATATCTAATACTTGTTTTATTTTGAAATATTTATAAACTTCATACTAATATTCAGAAGTAAAACTAAGTCCTGAAGTGCAATAACTATGGAACCTTGAGACAATACTTATAAATCAAAGTATGACCCACACTCCATGCATCCCTAAGACTGTCCTTAGGTTTGTGGCCCCAGCTACTAAATTTCTGTGGTTGGCTCAGTGCCTCTGCTCAGATTTGCAGACTTTGGTTGGTATAAAGCTAAATCCAGAGTATTGTAACATTAGAACTAATTATAATTACTAAGTACATTGAATTTAACTTTTTACACAGAATGAAGCTTGGGGAGAAGAAGCTAAAGTAGAATTTTTGAAAATGGTGAATAACAAGGCTGTTTTAATGAAAGTTTTTAGAGAAGAAGATGGTGTGCTTATTGTAGATCTGCAGAAACCACCAACAAATAAAATAAGCAGTGACATGCCTGTGTCTCTTAGAGATGCATTAGTTTTTATGGAACTGGCCAGGTAGGTAATTTATTAAACCTCAAATATTTTTTGAGATTATAACTATAAGTTGGAATAGCAGATTTTACTTTTAAAAACTATGGCCTCCAAAGTGATCTTCATCATACTCTTGTAAGAGGTTAAAAATATTGCTGTCAAGTTTTCTAATTACAATCGTCTGTGAAAACTACATTCAGATCATTTTTATTTAAGGAAATAGAGAAACTATTTGTAGTTACTGAACGTTTTTTATACTCTTGATAAGTTCACAAGCAAGTACACTAGGGTTTCAAGAATTGTAATTTAACAGTCCCTAATTTGAATTTTCTAACTACTCTGTAAGATGTGAATCTAGAATGGGTACTCTAAGTTCCTTTCCTCCCTCATCTCTGATGAACAAAGATGACTAAGTTACCACAGAGATAAGGGGAAGATACTAACTTTCTGTCCTGAGCAATTACAAGACTCTCGAAGTGAACCAAGTAGGTTCCATTCTGAAAAAAAGTAGAGTCTGGGAGCTGGAAGGACACATTGAAAACCCTCAGCTCTCCTCACCGACTGCTACCACAGAGTGGTTATCAGTTCAGCCAAAAGAGTAGAAACTTAGACTCTGAGTAGAACTTACAGGTCCAGCTCAAAAATGCTCCAACACCAATTTGAAGGTTAATTATTGAATTTTGAGACTTGACGTCTTATTTAACCTGGTTTGATAATTGGAGACAGTACATGAAGTGTTATAAGTTAGAAGAGAGAAATTGGAAGTGGAATACTTGGTAGACAAATCAATATATGTACATGTCCTTTCTTCAGATCAAGTCACTGAGATGGAGAGACCTCAAGAAAATGGCTCCTGCTTATGCTTTTAATTATTCTTTTAATCAGGTTTAGGTCACACTCACCAAGAAGTCATTCTGAAAAAAATATGATTTTACACTATCATCCACCTGTTTTGCCTAAAGAAATGACAGATGTTTCAGTTATGGTTTGTCATATAAATAGTCCTACTGATTTCTATCTTCAGTTGGTAAGTATATAATGTTCCTTTGAGAAAAGATATTTTTGCAAATTTTAGGTAGAAATGTATAACAGAAATGAGTGCCTAGTACGAATTTTAGAGCAAACAAACCACTATGAACCTACTGTAAATTTAAGTGGCTGCATCTTTGAATAACAAATGCACATGGCTTAGAGTAAATTGAAGGAGCTCTTCATTGTGCAAAGTAGTGATATGTGGAGGGAAGGGACAGTGAAGGATGTATAATGTATAAATGTTTCCTGCTACCCTCTGAAATCTACAGTTGACCCTTGAGTAACATGGGATGCTGACCCTCATTCCCCCTCTGTGCAGTCAAAAATCCATGTATAACTTTTGACTCCCCAAAAACTTAACTACTAAAGATAACCTACGGTTAACCAGAAGCCTTACCAATAACATAAGCAGTCAGTTAACATATTTTGTATGTTACATGTATTATATACTGTATTCTTACAATACAATAAGCTAGAGAAAATACATGTAACAGTATTTATTGAAAAAAATCTTCATATAAATGGATGCATGCAGTTCAAACCTGTGTTGTTCAAGGTTCAGCTATAGAGATTAGGAAAGTACATAGAGCTGACAAATCAAAATAAAATGATAAAACTTATTTCTGATCATGTATACCTGAGAAATTATGAATTAGTACTAGAAAATTTTTGGAATTTGAACACCAAAAATAGATTCAGATTAAAGGCATTTCATGGAGGTGTGACTGGTGGGTTTAGGTCACTACTAACAAACGATGAGTTCATTCTTATTGATCTCTGTGCATCAGTGCTTTGTATGAATTAATTCATCCTAAGGGCCATAATGCTGTTTGTGAATTAACTCATTAATCATCACAACAATCCTATGAGAAAGATACCATTATCTTCCTTTAGGTATGGAGACTAACTAAAGGGATGAAGCAGCTTGCCTTAGGTCACACAGCTACAAAGAGTAGAGTCAGGATTGAACTTGATCAGTGCAGCTTCATTCAAGACCTGTCACCTCAAACACTGCACCACACTATACTGCCTCCCCAGAGGAGTTGAGGAAATCTCCTTATTTGGCACTAAGTAGAACTTAACATGTATTTTTTCTGCTGAATTTTTTTAGTGTCTCTAAATTGAGGTGAGACATATATAGCAAAATTTACCATTTTAACCGTTAGTGTACAGCTCAGTACCATTAAGTATATTCCCCATGTTGGGCAGCCACCACTACCATTCCTCTCCAGAACTTCATCTTCTCAAACAAAAGTTCCATTCCCATTAAACAATAACTCCCCATTCCGCTCCTCCAGTGTCTGATAACCTGTTCTACTTCCTTTCTGTAAATTTACCTATTCTAGGTACCTCTAAGTGGAAGACAAACACTAGTTTTCCTTTTGTGTGCCTTATTATACTTAGTATAATGTTTATATGTTTTAACATGTATCAGAATTTTATTCCTTTTCATGGCTGACTAATATTCATTGTGTATATATACCACATTTATTTAGCCATCTGCTGATGAACACTTGGATTGTTATAACCTTTTGGCTGTTTTGAATAATGCTGTTGTGAACGTGGGTGTACAAGTGTCTGTTTGGGTCTCTGCTTTCAGTTCTTCTAAATATATAAAGAGGAGTCCAGTTGCCAAATTACAACATAATTCTGTTTTACCTGTTTTTCAATATTATTTTTGTATTAGTTTCGTATATACAGCATACTGGTTAGACAGTCATATACTTTACAAAGTGGTCCCTCTGATATATTCCAGTACCCGCCTGGCACCATACATAGTTTATATCCCCCTTGACTGTTTTGTAACTACCAATTTGTGTTTCTGTCCCCCAAGCCTGCTACCCTCTGGCAACCGTCAGCCTGTTCTCTGTATCTATGAGTCTGTTTGTTTTTTCATTTATATTGTTGTTTAGATTCCACATATAAGCGAAATCATATGGTACTTGCCTTTCTCTGATTTACTTCACTTAACATAATCCCGTCTAGGTCCATCCATGCTGTCACAAATGGTAAGGTCTCATTCTTTTTTATGGCTGAGTAATATTTCAGTGTGTGTGTGTGTGTGTGTGTGTGTGTGTGTGTGTGTATGTGTATGTACCACAGCTTTTTTATACTTCACTTAACATAATGGTCTCCAGGTCCATCCATACTGTCCCAAATGATAAGATTTCATTCTTTTTTATGGCCAAGTAATATTCCATTGTATATATGTACGACAGCTTTTTTATCCACTCATCTATTGCTGGGCACTTGGGTTGCTTCTATAGGCTTGGCTATTGTAAATAATGCTGCAGTGAACATAGGGGTGCGCATATTCTTTCAAATTAGTCTCTTGGGTTTCTTCAGATATATTCTCAGAAGTGGAATCACTGGGTCATAAGGTAGTTCCATTTTAAATTTTTTGAGGAATTTCCATATGGTTTTCCATAGTGGCTGTACCAATCTGCATTCCCACCTATAACAGTGCACGAAGGTTCCCTTTTCTCCATATCTTCACCAACACTTGTTTGTTGATTTATAGCATTCTGACAGGTATGAGGTGATATCTCATTGTGGTTTTCATTTGCATTTCTCTCATGATTTGTGATGTTGAGCATCTTTTCATATATGTCTGTTTACCATCTCTGTGTCCTCTTTGAAGAAGTGTCTATTCAGGTCCTCTGCCCATTTTTAAATTGGATTGTTGGAGATTTTTTGGTGTTGGGTTGTATGAGTTCTTTATAAATTTTGGATATTAACCCCTTATCGCATATGTCATTGGCGAATATGTTCTTCCATTCATTAGGTTGTCTTTTTGTTTTGTTGATGGGATCCTTTGCTGTGCAAAAACTTTTTAGTTTGATGTAGTCTCATTTGTTTATTTTTTCTTTTGTTTCCCTTGCTTGAGGAGATAATACCAGAAAAATGTTGCTAGGAGAAATGTCAGAGATTTTACTTCCTGTGTTTCCTTCTAGGAGTTTTATGACTTCAAGTCTTATATTTAAGTCTTTAATTCATTTTGAGTTTATTCTTGTATATGTTGTTAGAAGGTAATCTAGTTTAATTTTTTTCGTGTATCCAATTTTCCCAACACCATTTATTGAATAGACTGTCTTTACCTCATTATATGATCTTGCCTGCTTTGTCAAATACTAATTGACCATGTAGGCATGGGTTTATTTTTGGGTTCTTTGTTCTGTTCCACTGACCTATGTGTCTGTTTTTATGCCATTATCATGATGTTTTGGGTTTTGTTTTTTTAAATATATCTTTATTGATTTCAGAGAGAGGAAGGGAGAAGGAGAGAGAGATAGAAACATCAATGATGAGAGAGTCGTCATTGATCGGCTGCCTCCTGCATGCCCCCAGGGGATCAAGCCCGCAACCCAGGCATGTGCCCTGACTGGGAATTGAACTGCAATCTCCTGGGTCCTAGGTCAATGCTCAACTGCTGAGCCACGCCCGGCTGGGCAGTATCATGATGTTTTGATTACTAGAGCTTTGCAGTATAATTTGATATCAGGTAGCATGATACCTCCAACTTTCTTCTTCTTTATTAAGATTGCTGAGGCTATTCAGGACCTTTTATGGTTCGATATAAATTTTTGTATTATTCTAGTTCTGTGAAATACACCATTGATATTTTGATAAGAATTGTGTTGAATCTATAGATTGCTTTGGGTGGTATGGACACTTTAATGGTGTTAATTCTTTATATCCTTGAACACGATGTATGCTTCCATTTATTTGTATATTCTTCAGTTTCTTCATTGTATAAATATGCAAGTACTGGTCTTTTACATCATTGATTAAATTCTTAGGGTTTTTTTTAATTATTAAATTTGTTGGGGTGACATTGGTTAACAGAATCAGATAATTTTCAAGTGTACAGTTCTGTGATAAAAGATCTGTATATTGCACTGTGCACTCACCACCCAAAGTCAAACCATCTTCTGTCACCATATGTTAAGCCCTCTCCACCCCCTTTCCTCTGGCAACCACCACACTTCTGTTTGTGTCCATGAGTTTCAGTTTTATATCCCACATGTGAGGAAATCATATTGTTCTTAGATTTTTCTGACTGACGTATGTCACTTAGCATAATATTTTCAAAGTCCATCCATGTTGTCACAAATGGCAGTGTTTCATCTTTTCTTTATGGCTGAGTAGTATTCCATTGTGTATATGTACCACATCTTTATCCAGTCCTCTGTCGCAGGACACATTGGTTGTCTCCATGTCTTTGCCACTGTGAATAATGCTGCAGTGAATGTAGAACATATATCTTTGCAAATACGTGTTTTCGAGTTTTTTGTTTATATGTCCAAGAAAGGGATTGCTGGGTTCTATGATAATGCCATTCTTTTTTTTAATGATATTTAGAAAGAGGAAGGGAGAGAGCGACAGAGACAGAGAGGGAGGGAGGGAGAAGGGAGAGAGAGAGAGAGAGAAAGAGAAGCATCAATGTGAGAGAGAAACATCAATCATTTGCCTCCCACATGTGCCCCGACCAGGGATTGAACCCATAACCTGTGTATGTGCCCTGACCAAGAATCTAACCCACCATCTCTTGGTATACAGGATGACACTCCAACCAACTGAGCCACACAAGCCAGGGCTGGTAACTCTATTCTTAACTCTCTGAGAAACCATCAGACTGTGTTCCATAGTCTGCATTCCCACCAGCAGTGAATGAGGGTTCCCTTTTCTCCACAGCATCTTCAACACATGTTATTACTTGTCTTATTGATAATAGCCGTTCTAACAGGTGTGAGGTGGTATCTCATTGTAGTTTTGATTCGAATTTCCTTAATTGCTAGTGAGGTCGAGCATCTCTTCATATATCTGTTGGCTGTTTGTATGTCTTCTTGGGAGAGGTGTCTGTTCAGGTCTCCTGTTCCCTTTTTGATTGGATCATTTATTTGTTTGGTGTTGATTTTTATGAATTCTTTATATATTTTGGAAATTAAACCTTTTTCAGAGCTTTTGTTTGCAAATATCATCTTCCTTTGGATC